TGATTTGTCCTTGGTCTTTTATATTTCTCAGATAACATGATTATTATGGTATTTCTGTTCTTGAGTAACACAATAGAGATGCAAAACACTATGTACTCTAATTCTTTTGGGGGGAAATGCAAAGGAACAGAGGCTTAAGAGGTGGAGTAATATTTTCAGTGACTCAGTACCAGTTGTTATTAATAATAGTGTTGCTTTAACTCCACCATATGCAATTCTTTTTCTTTAACAAAAAAAAAAAGTTGATTTTAGTTAAATTCTAGTATGAATATTGAGAAGAGTTTATATTGAGTCTATGATTTATGGAGTGCTTTATAAGTTAACACTGGTCTTCTGACCAGTTTTCACATTTTGCAAGTGAAAGTTTCAACGGGAGACTATATAGCAGCATTTTCTTATATAACTTTTGTTTGCTCTTGACACTGTCAGATCTGTAATTTTATATTCCACAGGTAGCACTTTTAAACATTCACTTCGCTTGGCTTTGTGAGTTACAGAACAGAAGTAAATGAACGCAGTCTTCTTCCCTTCTCTCTAGGTCTTCAGGGTCTAAATAGAAAAATTCAGCTCACACACATTAAAGAACATATAGACAGTATAAAGCTACAGCTCATAAAATAGAATCAGATTATGTAGCAGTAAATGAGACCTTAAGAAATCTCATTTAACCTCATTTTATAGATGATGAAACTGAGGCTCAGAGTAGTTTAATGTCTTCCAGAAGGTCATGGAGCTAGTTATAGGGAAAGCTGAACTTGAAAACAGGTCGTATGTTTTCTGCTGAAGTCCTGATGTTCATGTTCTCCATGTGACTGGACCTGTGGTCTTTCTTTCTGGGTCCAGGATTAACCTGTTTATGTCCTCCCATCTTCAGGGGACCCTGGGTATTTAATGGTCACATCAGTAACAGGGAGGGAGGGAGTCACCTCACCAGTAATTATATAGTTTTCATTGTCCCTGATATTTGGCTGTGTAGCTTCTCAAGAATAAGCCTAATTTTTCTACTTGTACTTAAAATCATTTTAGATGAATAAGGAAGAAACACTGTCCTTGTGGAGTCTTTGACCCCTTGTTTTTCTTTTACTCAGAATGCTTTTAAAATTTCAAGGGTTAGAGGTTTCCTTTTACTGAAAAATTAACTGGTTTGGTTTCCTGGCCTTTTGTTGTTTGTTAAAATCCTCTATCTTATAATGGAGTTTGAATTTTCTTAGCTTTACATATAACCTATCTATCACAGAAATATTAACTTATGTTTGAATGGTTGATTGACCATTTAACTCTTATGCTAGTTTTAAATGAAGGCCTTTGCAGAGCTTTCTGCTCTGTGGCTTGAATTATTCCATAATGAATTCAGGACAGGTATGTGTGTGCTGCTTTCTTCTAAATTCAGATATCCGATTTAACACTTTCATCTCCACAGCCTAGGTGTATTTGCTGCAAAGTTTGCATGGGTCAGGCTTCCCTGGCAGGAGTGAATGCCTAGCGCTCTAAGTGAAATATACTTAAACAGGTCTTTATGCCCAGAGTGTTTACCCTGCCTGCCTCCCTTGTTTACTTTTGGGTTAAAGTGATTTTTAAAATTTCGTTGAATTCATCAGTGAAAACACCTTTGACATGTAAAATAAAATGTTGGGAGAGAATTCAGCATGAAATAATGTTCAAGTGTAGACTTTGTTTTTTGTTTTACATTTTAATCTTGTGGTTATGTGCATGCTGGATTTCAGTTTGACACAGGTGCTTTGAAGTTTGCCAGTTGTATAGTGCACTTTGAATGTTTTACTCTCATGCCAGTGGTACAGTTAAGCTCCAAAAGAAATTTATGAGGAGCTAGAAATATTTTTTACCATTTGATTCATAAGCTTATTCTTTAAATATGTGCTTCCCGTGTTTGTTTTGATATTTGTTTGAGAATATATACGTCTCTTGGTTTTACAGTTTAGTAAGGAAGACTTTACTTGATCATTTATACTAAAGCAACTCATCACTTGTCCTGAACTCAGCCTCCCAATAACTTCAGATGTCTAAATATAGACAAGAGGCAGGTAATTTGAAAAGAGGGATGAGGTAGAGGGATGGCTTCTGAGTAACAAAATAGATGCTACAAAATCTACAACTTTGCCCATAGGAAATTTTCTGAGCATCTCAGTTTAAAACCTATTTTTTTTTTTTTTAAGATTTTATTTATTTATTTGACAGAGAGAGACACAGCGAGAGAGGGAACACCAGCAGGGGGAGTGGGAGAGGGAGAAGCAGGCTTCCCGCGGAGCAGGGAGCCCGATGCGGGGCTCGATCCCAGGACCCTGGGATCATGACCTGAGCCGAAGGCAGACGCTTAACGGCTGAGCCACCCAGGCGCCCCTAAAACCTATTTTTTTAATCTTACTTAAGGCAAAGCTCTTATAAGCCAAATTATGTGGTTTGTAATGTTGACCCTGTATCATTTACAAGAGGTTTAGAATACCCAGTGAACTCTAAGAACATGAGAAGCAGGATACATTTTTTAAAAATCAGTGCACCTAATTTTTTTAATTCAATTTTGACATATTGCCATATTTTTCATGTCTTTTTTTAAGAAATAAAATATTGTAGATAGGCTTGGTACCCTCTTCTATCCCCTTTCTTTCTCTCCTATGAGTATACTCTCTTAAAATTGATATTCATCATTCCCAGGCATTGATAGATATATATACACACACACAGAGGAAGCCATAAGAAATAATGTTTTGGAGTTTTTATATAAATGGAATCATACTCTACATATTTTCTGCCCCTTCATTATTTTCTATTTGGGGCTCTATGTTGGTAACACCATTTACTTATTCCTGTCAATGGCCTTTATGTTTTTCTACCTTTTTTGAAGCTCTGCATGTACAATGTTACAGTTAACATTCTTACACAGTATTTCCTCATGTAAGTATATAAACTGTTCCCTAGAATATATTCCTAAAGGTAGACTTAAAGGGTTAGGAGGGTGCACTCAACTTCAGCTTTCCTGTATTTATTGCCAAATTGCAGTCTAAAGTGCTTGTACTAGTTGCCCTTCTCACTAGCAGTAAATGGGAGTTCCTCTGGCTCCATATATTCACCAATTCTAGGTTCTGCCAGGTTCTTTTTTGTTGTTTAAATTTTGTTCATTTCACGGATATGAAATTGTATCTCATTAGAGTTTAAATTTGTATGTCCCTCATTTGTAATGTGGTTGAGCATAGTTTATGGTTATGGTTCATTTGGGTGCTCTTACATTTCTTACCATATTTTCTGTTGTTTATTTTTTGGCAATTAATGTGTAGGAGTTTCTTCGATGTTCTGAACACTAATCCTTTGTCAGGAGTTCCAAATATCTTCTCTCAGTCTGTGACTTACGTTTGTACTGTTTTTATTATACAGAAGTTTTAAATTTTAATAGAGCAAAATATCAGTCTTTTATGGCTTCCACTTTTGCATCTTTAAGAAATTTTTCCCTACCATGGGGTCATAATACTTATTTCTTTTATTATGTTAATCACCATACATTACATCATTAGTTTTTGATGTAGTGTTCCATGATTCATTGTTCAATTCATTGTTCAATACGTGCCCTCCTTAATACCCAACACCGGGCTAACCCATCCCCCCACCCCCCTCCCCTCTAAAACCCTCAGTTTGTTTCTCAGAGTCCACAGTCTCTCATGGTTCATCTCCCCCCCCCCGATTTCCCCCTCTTCATTTTTCCCTTCCTACTATCTTCTTCTTCTTTTTTTTTTTTAACATATAATGTATTTGTTTCAGAGGTACAGGTCTGTGATTCATCAGTCTTACACAATTAACAGCACTCACCATAGCACATATCCTCCCCAATGTCTATCACCCAGCCACCCCAGCCCTCCCACCCCCCACCACTCCAGCAACCCTCAGTTTGTTTCCTGAGATTAAGAATTCCTCATATCAGTGAGATCATATGATACATGTCTTTCTCTGACTGACTTATAAATACTTAATAAAAAATTTTAAAGTTTTGCTTTTTACTTACTGTTAAATCGCTTGGAATTTATTTTTGGTTATGGTACGAGATAGGGAGTTCTTCCTGCTTTAGATATACCTACTTACACCAATATCTCTTATTGAGTGGTCCATCCTTTTCCTGTTGGTGGTTGTTACATCACATCGGTCACATAGCAAATATCCACATGCGCTTGGGCCTGTTTCTAAGACCTTTGTTCCGTTGGTGTGTTTGTCTATGCCTGTGGCAATACCATACTGCCTTAATTTTGATATCTGCTATAGTGAGTCTGCCCCAGCCCTCCTCATGTTATTGATGTTCTTCAGGAGCTTCCTGTCTGTTCCTGGCCCTTGGCTTTTCCGTATAAAATTTTATGGAATTTAATTTAAAGGTCTTTAAAAAAATTCTTTTGAGATTTTGGTTGAAATTGCATTGCGTTTATGAGTTAATTTAGATATACCTAATTTTAAAATTAAAGTGTTTGGGTTCTTAAAAGAATGAATTCCTGGTTTTTGCAAAAATCAGTTCTCCCAAAACAGTTCTCCAAGAGTTCTGAATATTCAAGGTTTTATTACACTTAAAGAAAAGTGCACCATTGAAAATGTTCCTTCATAGATTTTTGGTAATTCATAAAATGAAATAAGCATCTTTAGTTCTTAATTGTGTTTGCTAATTTCTTCACTCATCAAATATATATTGATTACTTGTTTCATATAGGACCTTCTTCTACAGAATATAACAGGGGTTTGAAAATCCCTAACATCCAGTGGTAGGGAAGTTTTCTTATTTGGTTTCTAAGTGCATTATATAGGATATAATTCACACTTCGTAGGTGTACTTCAATTGATATTGGAGGAAAACGTTCCCTGTGCTGCCTGTGTATCATGTGTCAGATAGCCTGTGCTTTTAAAATTTATCACAAAACTCCACCTAGTGTCCATAGGTAATAGAATATTGACTGCATTCCATCTGATCAGACTGGATTAATTATTTGCTAAAATTTCTTTTTGTCCTTTCATAGAGACTGACAGCCAATACAGGAAGCAAACAGCGAAGTCGCCTTTCTGTTATGGCCCAGTACCTCTGCAATGTTCAACACATCTTGACAATTCCAGGTCAGGCTTTTGTCCCTAAACCAGAGGTAAGTTTCTGTTTGTTTGTAAATCTTTGTTCATCTGAGGATGTGCCGTAGGAAATTGTCTCTAGAATTTGATTTTCATTTATATGCAAAATGTACTTTCTTTCTCTCTCCAGAGTAAGAAAAATCACAATGTGTGAATAGTTCTTGTCCTAAGTTTTCTCCTCTTTATAGTGACCAAATGTCTAGGTTTATTCATGTTGCCCTGGTGGTGGTGGTATTATCATCATCACCTTGTACTCTTCAAAGTTTTCCAGTATAGAAGATAAATTATATGGTCACCTAATCCTCAAAAAAAGAAATCAGTATTTGTTTTGTGATTTCTGAATAGACCTCTAAATCAAGTTACATCAAACATTTTTTATTGTGAATTTTTTTCCACCTTTTTTTTAATTGAAGTACAATTTAACATCCAGTGTTTTATTAGTTTCAGGTGTGCAGCATATTGATTCAGCAATTTTATTCATTACTCACTGCTCACACAATAAGTGTAGTCACCATATGTCATCGTACAATATTTTTACAGTATTATTGAGTATATTCCCTATGCTGTAGTTTTCATCTTCATGACTTATTTTATAACTAGAAGTTTATACCTCTTAATCTTATTTTTTTACCCATCTTCCCACCCACTTTCCCTCTGGCAACCACCAGTTTGTTCTCTAGTTAAGTCTGGTTTTAGGTTTATTTGTTTTGTTTTTTAGATTCCATATATAATTGAAATCATGGTGTTTGCCTTCCTGTGTTTGACATATTTCACTTAGCATATACACTCTAGGTCCATCCATGTTATCACAGAAGGCACGATCTCATTCTTTTTTATGGCTGAGTAATTGTGTGTGTGTGTGTGTGTGTTATACATACATACCACATCTTCTTTATCCACTCATCTATAAATGGACACTTGGATTGCTTCCATATCTTGACTGTTGTAAATAATGCTGCTATAAATAGGGGTGCATATGTCTTTCCAAATTAGTGTTTTTGTGGTTTTTTGGGTAAATACCCAGTAGTGGGATTACTGGATCATACTGTATTTCTATTTTTAATTTTTTGAGAAACGTCCAAACTGTTTTCCACAGTGGTTGGTCAATTTACATTTCCACCAATAGTGCACAAGGGTTCCTTATTTTCCACATCCTCACCGACATTTGTTATTTCATGTCTTTTTGATTCTAGTCATTTCGGTAGGTTGCCTTTTTGTTTTATTGATGGTTTCCTTTGCTGTGCAAGAGCTTTTATTTTGGTGTAGTCCTAATAGTTTATTTTTGCTTTTGTTTCCCTTTGCCTCTGGAGACATACCCACCCAGAAAAATGTTGCTATGGCAATGTCAAAGAAATTACTTGCCTATGTTACCTTCTAGGGAAAATGGTTTTGGTCTCACATTTAGGTCTTTAATCCATTTTAAGTTTATTTTTGTGTACAGTGTAGTGAAGTTTTGAGTTTAATTCTTTTGCATGTAGCTGTCTAGTTTTTCCAGCACCATTTATGGAAGAGACTGTCTTTTCCCCATTGTATGTTCTTGCCTCCTTTGTCAAAGATTAATTGAATGTATAATGGTGGGTTTATTTCTGGATTCTCTGTTCTGTTTTCTTGACCTACGTGTCTGTTTTTGTGCCAGTACAATACGGTTTTGATTGTTGTAGCTTTGTAGTATACCATGAAATCGGGGATTGTGATACTTCCAGCTTTGTTCTTCTTTCTCAAGATTGCTTTGGCTACTGGGGTCTTTTGTGGTTCCATACAAATTTTAGTATTATTTATTCTAGCTCTATGAAATAATGCTGGTATTTTGGTAGGGATTGCATTGAATCTATAGATTGCTTTGAGTAGTGTGGACCTTTTAACAATGTTGGTTCTTCCAATTTGTGAGCATACTCTTTCTATTTGTTTGTGTCCTCTTCAATTTCTTTCATCAGTGTTTCATAGTTTTCAGACTACAGGTGGTCACCTCCTTGTTAAATCTATTCCTAGGTATGTTATTCTCTTCGGTGCAATTGTAAATGGTATTGGTTTCTTAATTTCTTTCTGCTACTGTGTTTTTGTATAGAAATGCGATAGATTTCTATATATTAATTTTGTATCCTGCTACTTTACTGAATTCATTTATCAGTTCTAATACTTTTTGGTGGAGTCTTTAGGTTTTTCTGTATATAATATCATGTCATTTGCAAATAGTGACAGTTTTACTTCTTCCATGCCAATTTGGATGCCTTTTATTTCTTTTTCTTGTCTGATTGTTGCATCTAGGACTTCCAGTACTATGTTGAATAAAAGTGATGAGAGTGGACATCCTTGTGTTGTTCTGGAAATTAGAGGAAAAGCTGTTTTTCACCATTAACAATGATGTTAGCTGTAAGTTTTTCATAAATGGCCTTTATTATGTTGAGGTGTGTTCTCTCTAAACCCACTTTGTTGAGAGTTCTCATGAATGGATGTATTTTGTCAAATGCTTTTTCTGCATTTATTGAGATGATCATATGGTTTTATCCTTTGTCTTATTAATGTGATATATCGTACTGACTGACTTGCAAATATTGAACTACCCTTGCCATTTCTGGATCAGTCCTACCTGATTGAGGTAGTCCTACCAAATTGTTGAATTTGGTTTGCTAATACTTTGTGAGGATTTTTGCATCTTTGTTCATCAGAGATATTAGCCTGTAGTTTTCTTTTTTTGTAGTGTCTTTGACTGGTTTTGGTATCAGGGTAATGTTGGCCTTGTAGAATGAATTTGGAAGTTTTCATTACTCTTCTATTTTTTGGAATGGTTTAAGAAGACTATTAACTCTTGAAATGTTTGGTAGAGTTTACTTGTAGAGCCATCTGGTCTTGGACCTCTGTTCATCGTTGAGTTTTTTGATTACTGATTCAGTTGTGTTATTAATAATCAGTCTGTCCAAATTTTCTATTTCTTCCTGATTCAGTTTTGGAAGATTATATGTTCTCTAGGAATTCATCCATTTCTTCTAAGTTGTCCAATTTGTTGGCATATAATTTTTCGTAATATTCTCTTGTAGTCCTTTGTATTTCTGTGGTATTATTTTTTCTCCTCCATTTCTGATTTTGAGTCCTTTTTTTTTTTTTTGATGAATCTGGCTAAAGGTTTATCAATTTTATCTTTTCAAAGAATCAGCTCTTGTTTTTGTTGATCTCTATTTTTTTTTTTTTAGCCTCTATTTTATTTATTTCTGCTGTAATCTTTATTATTTCCTTCCTTCTGCTAGCTTTAGGCTTTATTTCTGCTTTTTCTGTTTTAGGTGTATGGTTAGTTTGGGTTTTTTTGAGATTTTTCTCATTTCTTGAAGTAGGTCTGTGTTGCTATAAACCACTCTTAGTACTGCTTTTGCTGCATCCCGAAGATTTGAACTGATATGTTTTCATTTTCATTTGTTTTATGTATTTTTTCTCTCTTTGATTTCTTGGTTGACTCATTCATTGTTTAGTAGCATGTTGTTTAGCCTCCATATATTTGTGTTCTTTCTACATATTTTGCTGTAATTGATTTCTAGTTTTATACCGTTGTGGTCGAGAAAGATGCTCAATATGATTTCACTCTTACTGGAATTTGAATGTTCCTAGTTATGAGAACTTGGTCAGGTTAATAGGTGTGCCCAACGTAGGCAGGTTAGTTGGGGCTGGTCCACCAGGTGAACATGGGGAAGGGGCATGCAGTGCTAGCTAGACAGGTGGAGAGTGTTTGTCTCGTTCCCACAAATGTCCAGCTATCTAGGCTGAGAAAGAGAGGAAATGTTGTCTGCCAGCACTTTTGTTCTCGGAGAGATTTTTTTAAAGATCCTTGCCCCAAGGGTGCCTGGGTGGCTCAGCTGGTTGGGCGACTACCTTCAGCTCAGGTCATGATCCTGGAGTCCCAGGATCGAGTCCCACATCGGGCTCCCTGCTCAGTAGGGAGTCTGCTTCTCCCTCTGACCCTCCCCCCTCTCATGTGCTCTCTCTCTCTCATTCTCTCTCTCTCTCTCTCTCAAATAAATAAATAAAATCTTAAAAAAAAAAAAAAGATCCTTGCCCCACTAGTGCACATTTTGAGATTAGTAAGTAAATCTCCTTCATGTATACCATAGTCACTTTTCAAACTGCTGGTTTTGTGCTGTGTCTTGAATGGAGTTATTTATTATGCTGGCTTTTTGAAGGTGGGGACTCAGTTTCCTATGCCCTCTTGCTGTCCTGGAGTTAATCCCCTGATTTTTAAAGCACCCTAAGTTAAGCCTCACTGGTTTTCAAAGCCAGTTTTAATGGATACTTGTCTTCCCAGTGCCTGGGGTGCCTCGTGTTGGGTCCTATCCTCTCGCTTCTCTGTGCTTGTGTTGTCCCTTTTGTTGTGATTAGTCTCACTGGGGGTTTGGTTCCCAACTGTATCTCTGATCCTCCTCCCCTTTCCAGTGTTGCATCCTCTCTGTGATTCATTGGAAGGTCTGTTCTCCCTGTCTTCAGGTCATTTTTAGCACAGATATAGCTGTTATCTTGGTGTGTCCATGGGATGAGGTGAGCTCAGGATCCTCTTACTCCACCATCTTCTTCCAGTCCTTTTTCCACTTTTTTGAAAGACCCTATTTTGGCAGTGTTACTTGTGATTAATCATCTGTGTAAAATAGTTGGATATTAAACTAGGCTGTTACTATTATATGCTAATTACAGAAGAGTGTTAATTACAAAGTTTCTCTGCCAAAAATAAACATCAGTATAGTGGTGTCTATTTTAGCAAAACTACTACTGGATGAGTCACTATAGGACATATATTCTAAGAATTCATCTATTATTTTGTCAAATGTGTATTGAGCAGCTACTGCATGTAAAGGCATGGGCTTAGGCAGAGCGGGACTGGGAGGGCCCAGTCCAACATGGAGTCTGCCTTCAGGGAGTTTATAGCTGGTGAGGAACAGATGTCTCCTTGTTTGCTGAAACTCTCCAGAATAGAGTCTTGTAAGTTTCCCTTATGTCATTTGAGATTTATTAAGGAAAGGAGATAGCATAAAAAAATTGT